GTCGAAGTTCGGACGTTTAAAATATGTGGTCACGGAAACAATATGCATCAAAATTGCCCAGATCGGTTACGGTCAGGGGGCAGGGTTTCCCCATTGAGATGACATCGATCTTGCCGGCCAAGCTTGTTCGGAATTGTGAGACCAGTCCTCATTCCCAGTTTACACACAATGTGGTTCATGGCAAACTCCACAGGAGGAAGGGTTTGATGAGCGAGAGCACGCTGGAGCAACAGAAACACGCAAGTGGCACAAATGGAGGCTTAAATTCAGTCCAAGAAACGTACATCTAGCAGTTGAACCCTTTGCACGAGCGTGCAAACGCCCTCCTTTAAGAGACTTGCTGGCCGGCGGGCCAGTCTGGCCGCGGTCAGTCCCGTTGAACGTAGATCAATGCTGAGTGGTGGGGGGGAAGAGAGGGGGAGGGTGGGAAGGATGCTTGGTGAGTGGGTGGGCTTGACCCCAAATCTTGGGGCTTACCATGCACGCCGTTTTGAATGCGTCCCTCCCCTCTTTCTGCCACGCGGTTCTTAGCTTGTTCTTTTAAAACCCTTATTTGTTCTTTTGGGTGAGGAGAGGAGGCGGGTTGTTCGGCGAGCCTCCTTTTTCTGTCAACTCACATGCACAGTCATGCCCGTCGCAGCACGTCACACCATGCTGACTCGGTTCGAGTGTTAAGAACTAGAGGAGATATGCTGTCGAAGGGGTGCATACAGACGAACCGGGCGGTCTAGACTCAGGTCGGCAAAGGAAGACAGCCCTATTGCTGACTGGCGGCCCCCTGATACCACCGGCTACAAGTGCCGGCTCGCTTCCTTTTGGTGTTGTCAGTCACATCGACCACCAATTGCAACCAATTCTCCTTGATTGCCAACTCCCTCACAGGGCAATTGTAAAACAGATGACAGCACACCTGCGATGCTAGATGACTCTCAGAAACCACGTGGCGAGCGCCTGTGTCTCAGCAGTAGTGGAACCCCTGATTCACAAGAAAGCAAGGCGAGTCGTCAGCCACGGCTGGCGCCGCGTTCCATTGCCCGGCTGGCATGTTAGTTCATGACGGCGTTGTCAAAGCCGACGGGCTCATACCCGGCCTCCTCCCCGGGCCCGAACGGGTTCAATCCTACCCTTTCCCTCCCTAGTGCCAGCTATCCCCGGGGCCCGACCGACGGAGGAGCCACCCCCTTAATGATATCGTTCCCTTTCCTTGGCCTGGCTGCTTACAAGACCGGGAGTGTGTGCGTGTGGCTTGAGCTCGGACCAGTAGTTTCCGTATGCCCCTGCAGCAATCGTTCTCTGTGGTGACCTCCATTACACGCGGCTATGCCTAAGTCTCTCACCGATTTTCCAGGACTCAACCGCCCCCCATTTCAGGATGGTGTAGTTAAGTCTCAAGGATACCGGTGGTCGCCACTCCCTACCTACCGGAACCTTTGAGGATTGAGTTCTTGCCCAGAGCTCACGACGAGAAGAATGGAGTCTGGCCTCGAAAGTGCTGGATCAAGGTTGTCTTGCGTTCCTCATATTCAGCATGGCACCTCAAAATCGCCTTCATGGCACTATTGCGAACGACCAGCACCCAGCCCTTGGAAGGCGACCAAAAGGACGAAAAGATTTGCAGAACCTCTGCCGCCGTATTGACTGTCGCCGAATACGACTTCTGGATGACACAGTGACCGAGACTATCCTGAAGTTTGATTCCGGTCCGCAAGGGACCGAGCTGGGCGTTTAAGACCGGGACACAAACCACATATAAACAACAAATACATCTCTGTCATTGACCGTCTTTGGGTTGACACCCGGTCAGACCCGCTCCGGCACGATTCCGGGTTTCGATGGCGGTAGTGGTATACCGGCGAGGGAGCTATTTGCAATCAAGAACGCAGACGAGCTTGACGGCCACTCTGTTTACACACTGCTCCTCCACGGCGACGAGTTGCTATACGTCTACAGCGACCGTACTACGGCCCCCCGTATACGGAGGTACTGGAACAGGAGTTACAGGACTGGAGCTATTCCATCCGCAGCACCAAATCCAACATGTTGTAACTATCCAGTCGCGGCCGTTATCTCGCAAAACCCATACCAAATAATCCAAGCCGGCCAAGAGAACAACTCCAACCCCCTACACGGAATCCTCCCCAAATACCACCCGAACGGCACGCTCGAAACCATACTCGAATTCCATATCCCGGACTTGATGCGCGCTGGCGCCAGTGGCCTTGCTGAATAGATGGCGTCAGCCCTTGCTGGGATACACCAAGGCGGGCTCGGTCATGGATCTCTCTCCGCGACGCTATTGCGGCTTTGCCTGGTTGGACTACCCTTCTCCCGCCTTTTGGCATTCATCCTAGTAGACCTAGCCGGAAGACCGCCCTCTGTCCCCCGCCCCGGAGGCGAAATTAGCAGGCTTGCTAGTCGGTCGGGTAACAAAATATTGTGGTTGTAGAAAGTTATATACGACCTATGACACCAAACACACCCATTTTGTAAACGGCGTCGCTGGAGAGGCTCCGTAGAGGATGATCGGGGACCCCGCAACCGTTATACAAGGGCGCATAGCGTCAGGAGTAGAGCCCTCCATACTCTCTTGGAGGGCACGGTGGGCTCTCGACCAAGGACTCAAAGCCACAGGACCGTTACCTGCGGTTGCGGACATCACTCACTCGCCAAAGAAGATGAGAAACCAAGCAGAGCATGTATCCAATTTCTCCTGCTCGCCTCGCCACATTAAGGGAGTATGAAGTTTGCTACCAAAACAAATATAAGAAAGCAAAAGAATATAGCCCGCCACACCAACTTACAACCAACCAACAACAACAACAAAAAACACCCAATATCATCTAAATCATACCCAACCCGACCTACCACCCCATAACGACTACTACCTCCTTCCCCACCGACCACCTACTCAGCCGGAGCAGCAGCAGTAGCAGGGACATCCGCACTCGCCTTCTTATCGATGGACGCGCCAGTTGCCGACACAGGCGTAGCCGCACCACTGCCGGCAACAGGCGAAGCCACCGCAACGGGGCTCGCCACGGTCTCACCCCCCGTGATGCCCGTCTCCTGCGGCGAGGGCGGGATGCTGCCCGCTGGGACCGCCACGACCGGCTTGGGCTTCTCGGACGACCCGGAACCGCCGGACGCAGAGGCGGCGGCCAGGCTCATGCTGCCGGCGGGGCTGGTTGGGCTGGTGGGGCTGGACAGGGCGGAGGCGGGCCCCGTGGCGCCGGCGGCGCCGCGGATGACGTTGAACCACTTCTCGGCCTCGGCGGGGGAGTGGGCCTTGAAGGCAAGCTCCGAGGTGCCGGCGAGGCGGCCGCCCATGCCGCCGGAGCGGTCCTTGCCCTTGACGTTGAACTTGTCGCCGCTGGGGGCGCCGATGACGGCGTCGGGTAGGTAGATGGATAGCTCTGGGACGGGGTCGCGCCGCACGTTGTCGTCGTCCTTGAACTCGTGCAGGAACTTGCAGGGGGTGATGACGTAGTAGCCCGTCGTGTAGCCCCATGAGAGCTTGTTGCGGCTCTTGCGTTCTAGCGAGCCCTCGAGGAGTGGCTTGGTCGATGGGTGGCCCATGTTGGGGAACTGGATCGCCTCCACCGTCCGTGGTGGGTCCGACGCGTTGATGAGCTTGTCAGCCGACCGCTTGACGAACGCCTTCCACTCGAAGTCGAGCGGCACGCTCTGCGCCGCCCCCAGCATGTCTGTGCAGCCTGCCTTGAGCCTGGCCACCGTGAAACCGTGAGTCTCATGGCTGTGCACACTGATGATGTGGCGCTCGAAGTCTCGAGTGTCTGCACGCGACGAGTCGTGTGCTGGTGTCTCTTCAATCACTGCTTGGAGAGCGATGCACACGCCGCGCGAGATGACGTACGGGTCTCCGAGGGGTTGTGCTTGCCGCCGGTGGCTTCGAACGAGGCCGTGTGCTGGCCGAGCAGCTCGATGTGCTTCTGGGTGGTGTTGCGCGCCTTCTCGACCTCCTTGGCGCTCTTCTCGGCGCCGTGGGCCAGCTCCTTAGCCTTGTGCTTGATCTCCTTATGCAAGCGCTCGACGATCGGCAGGGCTGAGCCCTTGATGTTCTTTTCGGTTTCGAGGTTGGTGTTGATGAGAGCCTGGGTGTTGACACGCATGTTCTCGAAGAAGCCCGCGACACCGCCGAGGCTCTGGTCGAAGTGCTGCCCCTCCCTAAGGGGCTTCGAGATGGTCTGATCCCGGGTCAGTAGGGGCCCGCGAGAGCGTCTGGACAGACCAAATGCACCTTCAACACCCGTTCATACTCCTTTGCCTGCGCCTTGTGGATCTTCTCGACGGCCTCCATGTACTCCTCCAGGTAGACGACGGCATGCTTCCACGCCTGCAGCCTCTCGGTGAGGAGGCCGGCGGTCTAATTGTACGTCAGATACAGCCCAAGATATTGCTCCACACTCAATCACACCTACGGTGTTCGGATCCGTCTCGGGAACAGCCTCGTCGCTAGCTATGCTAGCCATCGTCGTCTGCCTCGATGGGGCGGCCGAGACCTGGGGGGACGCCATGTCTGCGGATTTCCGTTTATCTCTGCGAATACTAGTAAACCGTTTCATTGTGTGAGTATGTGAACTTTTCAAGATTCCAACTGGCTTGGTGGTGCGGTCTTGGTGTTTTGGGTATCTATGCAATGCCCAACTCGAGCAGCAACGATCAAGGGGTAAAAAAAGTAGTTCATCCCAAGAGGAGGTCGCGATCGAACTTACTTTAACTAGACTTATTCAACCAATGCTAATCAATGAGGTCATACAATTCGAAACACACCAAAAACAAACACCCAAAGCAGGTTGGGCAGAACGACAATCCAATAATCAGTTAGCACCTTTTAAGCACCATACGGACGATGTTCGGCGACCCAGCTAGATCGATTGTGGGGGGAACAACCAGATCCGGGAGCAGAAGCGCTGTCGTTGGGCCATGCCAAGCTCCCGCGCTGAACCCCTCTCTCTCAACCCGCACGCTTTGGGCTCTGGGTCAGTCGAAAGCCCCGCTAAAAAGTTAGTGCCAAGGCCATCTTCAACCCTTGTCCCATCACAGCAATCCCTGAGACGATCAACATTGGCCAGCTTCAGGCCATGACGTAACAACAGCCGGGACAGCAGCGGGACCCAAGACCATGTCCAGCTGGCAAAGCGTCGCTCCGCGGAAGATGTGTTGTGAGACGGGTCTCGAACTGTTAGTCCGTCGTCGGAGATGTTGCGAGAGATGGACTTGTGTCTGTTGTTTTAGACTGAGGCGACGGAGTTGTTATTTTGTTTTTTTTTCAAGGGTCTTGCTTGCAATGACGTCGATGGCTATTTCGGCAAAAGCAAGGGTCTTACACAGGAGCAACAACACCATCAACCCCCTGAAACTCTTGCATGGAGTGATCGGTGATCAAATCACGGTGGGCGGCCTCAACCTCGACGGCGTTTCAAACCCTCGGATCTCACCCTGCAGTCAATCAGCCACCCAAGAGTATCGAGGTACCTCAATGTACCTCCACGCCTTCTCAGCTTACTCGGGCTGTGCGCCTTGGTCCCGCAGGAAAATGGCACCCTCGCATTCAACCACTCGTTTGCGACGCCGGGATGTGTTGGTAGGAGCGAAGATGATGTAAACCTCTATTAGGACGTGCCCGATGACCGGGTTTGTTATGGGGTATCAAGGAAAATACTAAGGAGGAAAAAGAACAGAGCGAAAACCATCCTACCCGCCAGTAACAAAGCCCACCGTATCCCGTCCCTTCTTTTTTTCATGTCCCCGTTACCAATCTAAGAGCCCATTAACCGAAGAAAAACCAACCTAAAAACCACCGTCGACCCCCAAGAAAACTCCGGTCATGCTACGTCATGTGAAACAAAAGAAAAGGAGAAAAGAAACAATACAACTAATAATACACACCGACACGTGGCTGTGAACAGGTATCGCCTAATCAGCCGCCCCCACGAAGAAGCGGAAGACGGTCCGCTCTACCCTACCCACTATGTGCCTGAAGCAAGTGTAGTCGGCGTCCCTCGTCCCCTTCCCCAACAATGCTGCGGACGGTTTGAAGCAAACCGGACGAGAACTGTCGCCGATGGGGCATAGTTGGCCTGCGGTTCGTACCCGGCGGGCTGGGCTCCCTTGAGGCGGGCGCAGTAACCGGGGCCGAGGCCGGAGCCGGTGCCGGTCCCAGGGTTGGGACCGATTCCTGTGTGGCTCCGAGGGCGGGTTCTAAACTGTCGGCTATTGGTGTGATCGGCGTCAGCCGAGGGGTACCCGGCGGCGAGCTTGGTGCGCTCAGCGCCGCTTCGTAGTCTGGGAGTCCCAACACTTCCGAGATCAATGGCCTGACGGGAGTCCTGACAGCAGTCTGGTAACTCGGTACTTTGGACAGTTCCGTGATCTCTGGGAAGTCGAGGTGCTCGGGGGGCGTGTTGGAACCCGAGTGCCCATCGTTGCTGTTGTGCCGAGTGAGCGGCGTTGACGCTGGGGGCGATCCCTGGGCTTCGTCGCCGGGGTGCGGTGAACTGTCGTTCCTCCACGCCGCCCCTGCCCCGGAAAGGTTCGAGTTCCAGGACATGTTCCTATGGCGCTCCTCCAAGGACATGTTGTGCAGCCTATGCGCAAGCAGGTCCGGTTGGATTGCCGCACCCTGGAGCAGCGCTGGAAGGTTGTCGGTTGACCCTGCCCTCGAATGACCGCGGAAAGGGCTACTAACCCCTGACCGGCCGCCAATGGGTGAGTTGAGGCTGATAGGGTCAATATCGTCATACAACTGGTCTAGGCGATGGTGCTCGTAAGCTGGCGGCGCGATAGCACCCACTTCTCGGGACGTGCCGGTGGGTAGTTGTCGTACGAGGTCGCCGTTTTCGTCAAGCGGCATGTTGGGCGAGATGAATATCGACACGGGCAACGTCGCACGCAGTTCTGAAACGTGGCCGTCAGGGTTATTGAGCGCCACCACGAGCTTCAACTTGTGCCGAATCTTGATCCCCTTGGCGTTCACGTCCTGGAGACACTTGGTCAACTTCTTAGGCAAGTTCAGGGATGTGTTGACCACCCAGCCCTCCTGGCCTTCCCAGCCTTCGGAGCCGCTATCCTGTATCACATCCTGCCAGTGCTCCTCCCTCGTGACCGATATTGTCCACGAATCAATCGTCCTCTCCTTTTTGTGCTCCCTCACATTATGGCTCGGCGCCGAGTGCAGAATGATGTCGTGGATCTCGACAAATGGATCTTGATGTCGCCGAGATCAAAAACTATGAGACGGGGGGGTGACCCTCAACTCCACCGGGATGCCGCTGCAAAAAACGACTGCCCTTATGGAGTACACTGAATGAAGTACACAAATTTATTGGGGCCAGATGTTCTCAATGCTCATGGCGTGGAGAAATTCGAGTGCCGTTGCTTCCTGAGTTCGTATGATTCGCAGCTGCTTGTATGCGTGGATGTCGTGCACCCGCTTTCCTCGTGCTTCTTGTTTCTTTGATCTTGTACCTGATGTCTACTTTCACGTACATCCACGCACTCTCGGTGGGAG